CACACACACACACACACACACACACACACACACACACACACACACACACACACATTATTTTTCCTTCCATGCGGATGCCAAACAACCGGGCGTTCTATTCGGATGAAAGTAACATCTCAGCTACTATCCCTATGGCTATTGCGCATGAGATAGGTGTCTGTGTGTGTGTTGTCATGTTCAATATAGACAACTCCGCAAGATAAACATGGTTGTGTCAGACCATTTGTCAGACTTCGTGTGTGTGGTTTCTTACTGCCTCCTTCCTTCTTTTCCCCACCCCTTGCTTTTGGTATTTCTTTCCCCCTCTTCTGTTGCATGTATCATTCGGCCACCTTGCAGGTACACCATTCTCGTTTTTCTTTTTTTCTTTTCAGAACAACTCTACTATATCATGGGCCCAGTGGCCCATGCTGTACAGAACAGGGACAATCCAGGTGACTGGCAGTTTTTTTCTTTTTGTTTCCTTTGACTTCCTCTTTCGTTTCCTATTTCTCCATGTTTGTAGAAGCGAAAACATTGTCCTCACTCAGATGCTTTGCTAATGGAGCTCAACAACTTTTCTTTTCTTTTTTCTTTGGAGAAAGGCTTTCATTTTTTTTTTTTTTTTTTTTGAAAGACATGCTCCAATCTATTCGTGGGGAGCAGCACGTGCTGGGAATCGGGCCCAGCGTCCCATAGGCTTTCATGATACAGATATATTTGAAATCTCGATCTCTACCACCTTCCCACCCTCATTTTGAGTATATTGGACCAGAACTCTAGCCTCTACACATTCATAATGAGGGTGCGTTGTGTTCGAGGGAAGATGGTAGTGGTGGTTTAATTGGCAAATAACACAAATGCTCACGGAGCAACTATAGAATGATCAAGTGTAGAATGAAGGTTTTAAGTACCACCCGTATGCATTTTGTTTTTTTGCAGCATTGGGGTAGGCAAAGGTAGTAGTGGTTTAGCTGGCAAGTGGCACAAATGAGTTAGAGGTGGTTTAGTTGGCAGACATGTTCAGCAATTGTAC